AGGTGTCCGTTTTGGAATGTACCTGAATGGCAAGACAAGCGTGGGAGTGATTCTGAAGAATTGTCGATCAGCTTGGCAGCTGTGAAGTCTGTTTACAAATATCCAAGAAGCTATGCAGGCGCGGGAGTGATTCTAAGGAATCATCAAACCGCTGTTTTAGCTTTGCAGCTGTGAAATATGCTAACTTCTCCCCCTCTTAAGACGAGTCGCCCTCGACTTGCGCCAAAATTTCCTCCACTGCCCTCTGAGTTTTTGCTTTATTAATTGTCGATTTTTTTCTGCGGTATAGGAAAAGAATTGCTGTTGCGATGATTAGTAATGGAGGAAAAGAAAAAATTGTCCACAAGAAAGTACGATGAAGAGATAGGCCCTCTTTCAGCTCTTGAATGTGAGAAACATTATCGACGTAAATTTTATGCAAATACGGTAAGGACAAACTTGTATGGTGTTCCAAGTAGTTAATCGATACCGTCTTTGGAGGATGTGGTTGGATATAAATTGGTTCCTTTTTTGCCACGTAGGTTGTATCATTTATAGTGATGGAATCTCGAAAAAGAAGCAAATACGTTCCTTTAATTTCCAATTTTCGTTGATCAAGTATTGTTGTTGGTGGCACGTTATTAAGAATGATAATGCCTTCGTCTATTTTTTGAACTGGTGGTATATGATACGCTGATTCTGATGAGCAAGTCGCTGTGTTATTGTTTAGCACCTGATTTAAGCAATTTGAGTGAGCCGGTTTGCACACTTTAGCCACAAGAGCGTCATTGCAGTTGTCGAGTGGTTGAAATTTATCGCTACATTTTGCCGCAAGCGTGGTCTCTAGCTTAACAATACTATTATTATGGACCACAGGATAGATTCTGAGAAATTCGCAAAAATTAATTATCTTAGGAATCTTAAGAACATAGTAAATAACATCTGAATTTTGTAAAATTGTAACCTTAGATACTAAAAGTAAGTTACTTAAACTAAAGGGTAATTGTTCGAAATTGAAAGCGTGATCCATCTCCTCATCATCCAAAACAAGTGGATTTATAATATTACTTTTTGCTAACACAATGGAGAGTGCTAGTCTGTTTAGTTGGCTTATTATGTGGTTATTTCTTCTTATCAAATTTTCACAAAGCAGTGTTTTTTCGTCTTTTAACATCCAATCGGTCCAATTTCCGCGAATTTTGTTGATTTGGTTGGTTATTTCGTTAATTCCATTTTGTAAATCGGAGTTAATTTTAATCTGCCTATTGTTGTTTTTTATTAACGTGCTTTCCTTTGTCAAGAGCAGTTCAAAGTCCTCATGATCTGGGGTACCAGCTACGAATTTCAGAGCGAAACCCAGGAAATCTATTGATCTTGCAATTCTTCTCGGTATTTCCAAGGTGCGGATGATGTGTAATATTTCATCACCTTGTTGTTTTAAAATATTTTCGTTTACTATCTGATTTTTTGATTTTGATACGAACCATTGGCTTTCATAAGCTATCTGGCGGTAATCTGCCAAGTTGGTGGCATGTACGAGGTAAATGAATTCATTATAAATAGCCACATTTCCCCGAGGAATGGTAACAACTTGTGAAGAGGCGTAGTCAATTAGATTGGCCCTAGTGTCGGAGATAAGGGCAAGCACAAATCTGAAATTGATTTTATCGTAAATTACTTTTATGAATTTTTCTGCCTTCTATCTGTACTGTTGTACCTAAATCTCGTTCTACTATTTTTTCTACGAAAACTTTCTCAAACTTATTTCCTAGTCGTTTATTTTGACGAAGGAACACCCTTTCACCAGGCTGATATGTTTTAGTTATCCTTCTCTCATTTAATTTACTCAATACCAAATTTTGAGCTGTTATTAATTTTTCCTTGACTTCCCTAAATTTTCCTGCTGGGCAGTTTTGTAAAATTTCGATTGGTTTTGAATTTATAACTGAGTGAATTGTTCTATTGTATTTGTATGTAGCAAGCAAAATTAAATCCTTAACTTCACTTATTTGCTGCTGCGCTTTCACGCACCTGGCTATTTCCAACAGGGTTGAATGAAACCTTTCAACCTGTCCGTTGCTTTCGCTATGTAAGGTAGGTACGAAAAACTGCTCTATAGCGAAATGATCGCGTAGCATTGATTTAATTAAATTTGAAGTAAACGCTCTTTCGTTATCTGTGACAATTGTTTTAGTGTTTTGGAACATACCCAATACCTCCAATAAAGCTTCTTTTATGTCAATGGTGCATCTTGAAATAATGGGTTTGACTATTGCAAATTTTGAAAACCTATCAACAGCAGTTAGGAATAACTGCTTTCCAGTAATTAAAATGTCCAAGTGGAGAGTTTCTCCTGGACGCTCCGGGGTTGGAGTTCTCCCAATTTCGGGATTTGGGGGTCTCCTTTGGTATTTATTTTCCAGACAGATCTTACAATTTGATATTGTCGACTTGAGCATTTTCCTCATGTCCGGAAAGTAGTATTCTTAAAATTTTCCGACAGCGATCGATGGGCACGGGCATGCTCTGTTGCTATTGCTTCCTGTTGGTCGTTTGGATTAGTTAGATCGATTACAAATTTTTCCGTATGAATAAATTTAGCCCCCGGGAATGCTTCAATAAGAGGTCCCTGAATCTCCGATAGTGTCGGAAGATCGCAAAAAAAAACATTTGTAACGCTAGGATTTATAAGTTTCTTGAGAGTTTGTAATAAATTTGTTATTGTGTCGTAATTTATGGTATAACGAATTTTTTTCTGAAAAATGATTTTCGTACTTAGATGATAATGATCCCCCTTTGTTAAAATGAATTGGTTTTTGGATATTGGATAGTTTTAATTATGTTTGAGAGTGATAACTCGCTATGTGCTGTTGCATCTGTGTCACTCATATTATTCAAAAACTGACGAGACAAAGCGTCTGCTACGACGTTGTCTCTGCCGGGCTTATAACAAAATTTCGGCCAAAATTCCTCTATGAACGCTCGCCATCGCTTCATTTTTGTAATTGGATTTTTGTTCGAAATGGCGAACGTTAAAGGCTGGTGGTCTGTGAATATTACGATGTCCTTAATACCGTATAAGTAATGTCGAAGGTTTTTAAGGGCCCACACTATAGCCAAAAGCTCACGCTCGTTGGTTGCATAATTTTCCTCTGTTTTTGATAGTGTTCGCGAAATCATTGTGATGGGCCGCCCATTCTGGGATAGGACCGCGCCTAAAGCGCTAGAGGATGCGTCTGTTGTCAGTTCGAATGTTTTGTCATAATCCGGATAAAACAGCAAAACATCTTCCGATGCCAAGATGCTTTTTACCTTTTTAAACGCTTGAATAGCCTCGTCGTCGAGGACTATTTTAAGATGTTTGGACTTGTGGGATGACACATGGCCATTTTCCCCCCGAAGATACTTTGTTAATGGTTTGACGATAGACACATAATCCCGTATAAACCACCTATAGTATCCTGAAAGACCCAAGAAAGAGCGCAATGCTCGAAATGTTTCCGGCATCTTATAGTCAATTATGTCCTTAATCTTATTTGGACATGTTTTTATCCATTTTTGGGAGACAATAAAACCGAGAAATTCAACCTCCTTCTTAAAGAATTTAGTCTTTTCTGCTGAAACTGGCATTCCAGCTTTTTCCAACTTCCTTAATACCCTATAAACATGTTGAATATGGGACTTTTCGTCCCTTGAAAATATGATTATATCATCCATATAAACTTGGCAACTTTGGCCAATGTCGTCTCTCAGGAAAATACTGGGTGCATTCTTTAAACCGAATGGCAACCTATTAAACTCATATTTTCCATTGTTTATGCTGAAGGCTGTTTTTTCGCGATCCTTCTCTTCAAGGATTATCTGGTGGAAGCCAGATTTTAGATCTAAAAATAATAAAAAATTTGGAACTACCCAGATTTGCTAGTATGGTAGAAAAATCTGGTATAAGATATCTATCCGCAATCGTTTTTTACCTTCCTCTTATTAGCTCGGGATGTAACTATGTAATATTGATGCGCCTAAGAGATGAAGCGATTTCTATTCTCAACTTACATACCTAATGGTAGTACGAATGGCAATTATAATAGGGAGGTTTTAGTTTTTTAAACTATAATTTTATTCGTTTAATTTTCGAAAGTCGATTACCATGCGGAGCTTTTGTTTACCGTATTCATCTAGGACTTGTTTATTCACAACATGGTCCGGAGAATTATAAGCCGAATTCGTTTTCCTGATAATACCGTCCTTCAACAATGTTTCTATTTCCTTATTAATGAATCCTGCCGCCGAAACCGGGATAGATCGGGTATAAATAGGTTCTGAGGAAGTAGTACGAATTTTTGCTTTGACCGTAGTATTATATGGTAAAGCTCGGTTAGGTTCGGCAAGGGCCTTCAAGTTCTTTTTGATCATAGAGTCAAACTCATCTTTCACAAGAGCTGGGACTGAGTCCCTATCCAAACACATGGAGTTTACCTGCTCACAATTTATGTTATTTAATTTTTCTTTACCGCCCTCATAAAATAAATATTCCGATTTCGTATCAATTTGAGCTCCTATTTCTTGTAGGAAATCGTATCCTACTATACCATCGAAGCTTTTTAAATTTGGAAGAATAAAGAAAGTTTATGCTTTTCCCAAAAGGAAAACCTTGCATTTTTTTCTATGAGATTAGACCCATTTATTGACTCGACCTTAAACTGTCTCTCCACAGGGGTAATTCCCTTTAAGAAACTAAAATTTTTGATATAGTTCTTCGAGGTTCCTGTATCAATCAACAGTCTAAGCTCCCGCCCCTCCGACGTCTTCTTGATAATGTAGGGTAGGAGCGGCCTTACGCTAAAAAATTCATTTCATCTTCCATCGCAAAATTAGAAGCGATCTCGATATCTGAATCACTGTCACGATCCACAGTAACTTTTTCTGGTGGATCTACCTCTTGGGATGTCTTCAAATGATTCGTCCGTTGCACCTTTGGTTTTCGTGAATTTACTGAATACCCTTGTTCGCGATCCCGTTTATTCGCGTATTGATTAGCATCCCTTTTGGGATGCCCTCCTAATGCCTTCTTATAACCCTGGTTGGACTGTTTTGTACGTCGGAATGCAGAGGATCCGCGGTCTACCTCCATTGGAGTAGGAGTGTCCTTAGGCATTTGGGGAATGCTTGAATAATTGTTCTGATATTTTGGGTTATCTGAATTTGTTACGCTGTTAACTGCAAATGTTCAAGCAAAATCATAACGCATACGGTTATTTTCTAACTCCTGGGCAGTGGCCAGCGCAGAATGCAAATCTTTTGGATTGGCCGAAAATAGAATATCGCATAAAGGCCGCTTTAGGCCGGAAATAAAGACCCTTAATGCATTTTCCCTAGCTCTATCATTGAGCGCGGCGGCAAGCTCCCTGTTGTTGGAGTGAGTCATTATATTTTTATTCGTTATGAGTGTTAATTATTTGTCCACCGTGTCATAATATTGACAGAGTGACAAATTTCCCTGCCTTAAAACACTGAGTTCTGTTTCCAAAACATGTAACGGTCTTTTATCCGCGTATGTTTTATCTAACCTAGCTATTATAGCTTTAAAATTCAACACAGTTGAAAAGGAA